AAAGATTTATTTAAGATATTTGATGAGCGAAATTACTTAACATAATTGAACTACAAATATTAAAAAGAGATACGAATAATAATTTCAGCTAAAGAAAGATCATTACAGATTATAGATCAAATTATATTAAAAATAAAATAACACGTTTACATATTATTTACATTCACAAATAGATCATTTATTGTATATACTTCCCGAGTGAACATTCGTTGTTCATAAACCAATTCACTATAATTTATTTGCAATTGAAATATCCATATCTGACGATCATGTTTCATAAATTGTTTGCTCAAACTCAATGTCTAGTATTTATAAACTCAATAGAAGTATTTGTAATATTTTTATTCCAAATATTTATTCACTTCTTATTCCAATAATTCGTATAAACAGAATTGCCATTCTAAAAAGATAATAAGCTTTATCATTTGTAGAAACAGAACATATTGCATTATCTTCATTTCTACTATTATTAGGTAGAAGTACGTCACGTGATACAATGAATGCTTGATATTAGTCACGTGATATATCTTTGTCTAATATAATAAGAAAAATACAGAATTGAATAATTAAAAAATCGATTAAAATAGTTAGAGTTAAATTAAAAATTATAATCTTATATATCTCAATTAACATCAAAGATGATATTGGATTGATATTCATCAAAAAAAGATTATGCTGTCTGTACAATTGATTGTAACAGAATATAGATTAAAACAGAATTATATTTTTTGAGCTGCTATTAGATGATTGATTCAAATATATATTGCCGTCAATTAAATGTTCAAGTAAATAATCAAAATTGGCAAATAGAAAAATTTTCTATCTTGACAATGCAAGGCGACACATAAATTTGATCAGTTGCTAGAAAATTTTGCAACTTGAATGAAATATATTATCCATCATCTTCTAATTATTTCTTAAATGACAAAATTCTTTAAATGATGTAAACTTTGATTTAAACGAAGATGTCAAAAATTACTTATTTATTTCAGCTTTTTATCAGCTTTATCAAGAAAAAAAAAAGATTTATATGATTTGAATCTTTAAATTATCAAAAAAATGATGAAAAGTAGTGTAATAAAATAAGAAAAACAATAT